CATCTTTCTCTCCAGTGGGGACCCAACGTAGCTTACTTACATTGTTTGACTTCCACCCATTGTTAGGAAACTTTTGAAAGGAGCCTGGTTTTGAACAGAATACAGTACAAGGGAAGAGCCTCTGCTTTGCACGCAGAAGGTCCCAGGTTCAATCCCTGGCATATCCAGTTAGAAGGGCCAGGTGATGTGCAAGACTTCTACCCAGGACCCCAGAGACCTACTGCTAGTCTGGGTAGGCAATACTGACCTTGATGGACCAATGGCCTAATTCATTATAAGGCCTCTTGTGAAAAAGGTGAAATCTGAACTAGCCACCAGATTTTTTAAAAAAATCCTCCTTAAAATATGAAAAAGAATACAAGGAATTGAGGATCAGAAATTCTGAATATTTCACTCCTCCCAAAGATTCCATTTTCAGGTATATCCTAGGCAAGAGACTCACAGCAACATCTCTTCCCCAAAAGTCAAACAGCCCACTCACCTGGGAGCAAGCATCACTGTGGGCATCACTTTGGGAATAAGCTTGCATCGGATGGGGCAATAACAATTGCTCCACCAGTTGCTCCCCCAAATTTGACCACCACAGAGCCTCCTGGCGCCCGGGCAAAAGCAGCAGTCCTCTACGCTCCAAGGCATGGACTTCCTCTAGAGCAGGCAGCGGGAGTCCCGCAGTCTCAAGTAGCGGAAGAGCCCATCAGAGCCACATCCACTAGAGGAATAGGGGAGTCCCAGACTGCTGCCCACTTTGGGCTCTCTCACCTGTGGAAGTAGTGACCGCAAAACATGCTGCCCAGCAGCCTGCAGTCAAATGTGGCCCATCTAGCGAATCACCCTCGTCCACTGTGCTCAGCTCCCCCCCCCCGCTGGAAGCGGCAGCTGAGGGGGCAGCGGAGGGAACTCGCCTGACATTTCCACAGGGACAGGCCTGGAGCCCACCAGGTGCGACTTCAGCGTGGGAGAGGTGCTAAACCTGTCCACACTTGTGACGCAGTAAGACACTGCCGGAGCAGAGTAGCCAGGCCCAGCCAAGCACGGGCCGTTGAAAGGCAGAAGCGCTGAGCCAGGGTCAGAGAGCAGCTTCCCCGGGGACAAGAGGGGAGCTGGCACCCCACAGCTGCTCGTCTTTTCCTTTGAGATGCCCAGCTTTGTCCAGCAGCAGCAGCAGCCGCCGGAGCAGCCTGAGGGGCGCCTGGAGCTTCGCTTGCCTTGACCCCCCCCCCCCCCCCCCCCCCGGACCTGTTTCCCTGCCTCTCTCCTTTCTCCCCCCTTCCGTGGCAGCCTCTCCTGTTGCTTCCACTCCCACCCAATTTCTCCCTTTCGCAACTCCTACTGCCCCTTGTGGAAACACCTCCTCCCCTAGTTCCCTCTCTTCCTTTCCCTGCCATCTTAGCTCAGCAATCGTCTCTCACCCCTCCCCTTCTCTAGGTAACCCCTTCTCCCCTTCACTCCCGAGGAAGCACACAGGGCAAGCAGAGCAGGGGTGGCTTTTGGTAAGCCGAGGGAGGGGCCGGGAGGGGCGACAGGGTGAGGGAGCAGCCTGAGCCGAGCAGGGCTCGTTGGCACACAAGGTGTGGGGAGGGCTTTTGGCGGGGGTGGGGAGGGCTTTTGGCGGGGGGCAGGGCAGCAGGCGCCCTCCCCCAGGAGCCACCCTAGGCAAAAGTGGGTGGGCCAGCCCTGCTGTTAGACAATTGTCCCAGCTCAATATTAGCAGCAATTACCACAAAACAGGGGGCTACCACAAACAGAACAAATGAAAGTGCTGTACTACATTAGTAGAAACTTCTTCAGATTATTAATCCTGTGCCTTTCTGGTTTTTGACATTCTGTTTTAGCTCTAGCATTCATAGTAACATTAGTACCGGGATAACTGCGCCAAAGCCTGAGCCGTTTCCTTGATACGGAGTGTGTTCTGGTTCAGCACATCTATAGATGGCACAAAGAGACAGGCACGGTTCACATCATCAGTGTAGAAGTCACTGTCAGAGATAGCAGTTAAGAGTTCATTGTATTCCCGGGAAATGGTATGACTGACTGGCATGCCATATTCATCCACATATTTCTTTAGGGAGTAAATATAGACCTTGATTTTATTTTTAGGGTTGAAGCCGCAGCGGTAGACATCAAAGCATGTGTGCATCCTGCAGCTGAGGTCTCCTCGCTCTGGGATGGCGCTCTCTGCAGGAATCTTAATTATAGGTACATCATGAATGCTGTGCTTTTCAACTGTCCAATCATTTGAAGACTCTATGGAGTGCGGCCAGAACTGGAACATGCCTGTGGCGATGAGACCCAGCAGGACAACGGAGAAGAGAGCAATGTAGTAGATGCGGTGTTTGGTCTTCATTCTTGGGATGAGGGCTGGACCCCGGGTGCTATATTTGACTGACGCACACATAATGAAAGAAGCCACCTTTCCTACGAGCTTCTGCATAGAAAACAAAATTTAAAAAGAGATAATTTTTACATTGTTGCAAGGTGCAAATCCATTCAATTAATAAAAATGTTCTTGTGGCTCAGCAGATTGAAACTGTATTCTTGATGCACCAAAATTCTAATTACATGAAAATGCTGATTTCCCATACCAAATAAGACTATACTTTGTACATACCAATATGGAAAAAATGGAACAAACCCACAAAATTGGAACAACTCGATGGGGAGGGCGGGGTACAAATCAAATGACTAAATAAATAAAAACCAGGGGAAATCTCAAATTTCTTATATCATCTCTTTCTATTTAGTATTCAATGCTAACACCATGCTGGATGCAATACTAAATGCAAGTTCCTGCCTAGGTTAGAAAGTTTTGGTGTGTGTGGGGGGGGATTAGTGTGAGCCACCCTGGGAATTGCTTCTATCTGTAGAAAAACAAGCACACTAAATTATCAACAAATGACTACACATTTATATAGTGTTTTAGAGCGTTGAGTATACTTCACAGACATTCTCTTAGTTTTCCTTACAACAAGCCAGCAAGGTAGGTCAGAATAACTACCATACACAGCAGATGAGCAGCTCATGCACTCTTGAAAGACAGCAGCTTGCCAAAGACAACCTAGTAAGTTCATACCAGGGGCACTGTGCTGGTGAAAGTTACCAAAGCATAACAGATAATAATAGTTTTGCACTTCTACTGTTCATTTTAAATTACAAACAAGCAGAATAAATTGTCAGTTTGTACACTGGACTCGATATCTAGTTTATAGCATCTGAACATCTGTAGAGGGCCAAATACGGTTTTGAGGTTTTTCCAGCTCCCTTCCTCTTGTAGCCCTCTGAACCTATAGTACAACACAGTAGATGGTGCCTTGGGGCAGAATCAGTAACAGCTTAGGGCACACATCCAACTGCACACTGAATACAGATGAACAAGTCAAAACATTTCATTTTCAGATAAGCAAAGACTAAATAATCACTGGACCTAACTAAAGGCTATTCTGGTAGAAGTCATTTATCTGATAGGGAAATTCTGAGGGCTGCTTCTTACATAGCATTTTGCCACTATACTAAGGAACTCCTTAAAGACATGCTCCATTAGATGCAGAAGCCATATGTATATATATATGGTACTGCTTCTCTTTTTTGCATTTTTTAATATGTGTGTGTGTGTGTGTAAGAGAGAGAGAAAACCTGGAAGTCATGGCAACCTCTAGGTGACTGGCCCTTACTGGGGGGTCTGGAGGATATTAAAGAGAGGTGGCTGAATAAAGCCTGCCCCTGCCTCTCCCATCCAAGTACTTGCCAGAGTTGACCCTGCTTAGCTTCCAAGGTCTGTCGAGATCGTGCTTGCCTGGGCTATGCAGGTCAAGGTGCTGCTTCTCTTTTTAAAGTGCTACCAGATCCAAGCAGGTGGAGAAGTGTGTGTAGTGCTCAGGGAAAGCAGGGTTCACATTCCAGTCTGCCATGAAGATTCCTGCATGACCTTGGACCACCTTAACCTACCTCCCAGGGTTGTAGTTAGACTGGGGGGGGGGGGCAGCAGAACTATGTTTGTTGTCCAGAAGTACTTGGAGATCAAAAGAGATAAAAATATGCAGACAGCTAGGGTTGTGCATACACTTATGCCCTTTCATTCCTGCAGCAACACACAAGCATTTTATACTTGAACGCTGATATCAAAAGTCATACAAGCCTTAACCTTGCCAAAAGATATTAACTGATATACAGCAACATTTTTACTAGAGTGTTTTACCACCTCTATATCTGTTTCACGCCATCATACCTGCAGTGAATTAAAGTTCACTTAAACATCAAACATGTTATGCATCGATTGAACAGTTTTAAGATTAGGAAGTGTTAATGCCTTTAACTGAGAGAAACTAGTAAGTTCCAGGCCAGTAATAACCTCATAAAATACCAGGCTGTGGTCAACCCGGCCTAGAGAGTAGGTAGAAAATCAGAGATGAAACAGAGTGGTTTTCATTTCCCAGATTGTGCCCATATTATATTTCCAAATGTTTATGCTGAAGTATTTCATCATGGGAGACAGCAGATATGAAAGCCAAACAGAATCTTGCATATCGGTTTTTTCCCACCCATGGGAGAAAAAAACCAAATGCTACTCCATGCAGCTTGTTGGATGACTCACCAGGGTAACCAGAGACTCTCAGCCTAACCACAGGGATGCTGTGAGGAGGAAAGAACAACCAGATAGCCCTGTGAGATTTGAATGTGAGATAAAGTAGATGATCTTGTCTTTCAGGGGAAGAACAACAGTTAAGGGAGTGCTGTTTTGAATTAACAGCAGGAAGAGAAAGGATTAAGCACTCTTTCAGTCCCAATCACAGCTTCTGAGGCAGGTTTTCAATGAAGACACAAATGTACAACTGCATGTAAGGTGTACTTTGCCCCTTAGCATGCATCAACAATACTCCCTGAGACCAAATGCTGCTCTGATTAAAATTTGACATAAGATTGTTAAAATGTAAGAAGTGGAGATCTAAATTCATAGAGGAGGGGGAACTTCATGCCCTCTAGTGCTATTTGCAGCGTCTCATCTTAAAAAGAAACCCACTGGGAGACTAGTCGTTTAATGGCTGTCTTAATTATTTACCTTATTTACAGTCTGCCTTTCTCACTGATACTCAAGGCAGATCACACAGTACAAATCAATGCAATCTAAAGGGTGAGACATTGAATAAGCAATGCAATTGGACTAGGATTACAGCAGTCTGAAACAAAGCATATGACCAAACCTGTCCTGGTGGAGCATAGCAGCAGAGGTGGTCGTACAAATATGTGGGTCCAAACTCATGCAGAGCTATACCTTGAACTGAACCTGATAACGGATGGGCAGCCAGTGGAGTGACTGCAGAATGGGTGTAATAAGCATGCTCCATCTAGCTTGATAATAGCCAAACTGCAGCATGCTATACCAACTGGAGTATTTAAGATGGCTTCAAGGACAGACTTGTGTAAGAGTACTTACAATAGTCTTGTCTCAATGCTACCATGGCATGGATCTAAATAGCCATACCAGCTGAGGTAAGGCAGGGGCCATTTTCTGACCTAAATGACATTGAAAGAAAACACTTTTTCAACAACATTAACCTGCTTCTCCAGCAGTAAGGCTGAATCCAGTATAACCCCATGGCTCTTAAACAAGTCAGCAAGGGTCATCTGACAGCAAATATGGACACAGAGCTAACTTGAGAAAGGATATTCTCAGATACCACCAAACGTATGGAAATCCCTCCTTCAAGATACTGGTCTGTCTTTTTCCATCACTCTCTTCTGCCAACAGGCTGTTTGGCATTCCCTCAATGTCACTCCTTGCTACATTTAGTTGTGGGGGTTTTAAATATATTTTATTTTAATTAATTTTATGACATTTTATATTGTTCTACTTTTAACTGTTAATTGTCTTGGAGGCTCTGTGTGGGCTAAAAGGCAGGATACAAATTTTAGACATAAATCAAATATACGCTCCCCACACCAGCTCCCTTTCCATCTTCCACTTTGCTCCATTTTGTCCCTCTTCCCCAAATTTGTCTCTTATTGCTGCCTCTCCCTCTGTTTCCTCCCTCCCCTCTCCCTACTGCCAGCTGACTGTGCAGGCATCAGCCTTTATTTATTTGCATTTTTATTCTACTTTTTGTACAAATCTGGGAGTTTTGCAGAACCATGTATCCCAACCATGGGTGGCCCCACTGTGTAGATTTTTGATCTACTTGGAGCCACACATAAGTATTAAACATATAGATAGGCTGTAATATTCTTATTCACATCTAGGATTCTAAATCTCACAACATTTGACTTTCAAACAAGGCATATTCGCTACCCTTTATTTCAAGATAAGACAAATAGTTAATCTGTTATACTGTTTATCTTTTTCAGTGATCACTTGCTATCTGTTGATTTCCACCACCAAAACACTCATTTCAACGACACATTAATCTGTACATCATTGATCAAATAAATACCTATTTATGCATACACCATTTTAGACCTATAGATTTTTTATATTGGAAGTGAGAGTTAAAGCAAGAGTTCTGAAAAATTAATAAAAGGGCCCATGAACAGCTAGTAAAAATGTGTTATGTTTTTATTACACAGCTATCAAGAATGTCATCATTAAGATGGCTTCAAATCATGAGCACCACAGAGCAAAAGGTAACTAGACTCTTCCATGTTTTACCCAGTTCCTACATGCTCAGTGTGTTCTTCGGAACAGTTTTCTCAGCATACTAGCAAATCAATAATCAGCAAACATAGGCCCTGACCCACCAGCTAATAAATATGCTGTAGGAAGACAGCATTCCTTAAAACTATTAAGACTTCCTTCACAAAGTCCAGACCACATAGCCAAAATGATATCATCGCTATTAAAGTTAGCTATTAGTTTTTCAATAAAACAATTTCACAACTGTACCCCACACCAATGGAATATATTGGTATACCACTGAAATCAGACATCTGTGACCAAGTCTCAAGATGCAGAGGAAAATATTTTCCACCTCAGATTATCATCTAACCACTTATTCATCTTTATATGGATTATTACTCATTTTTGAACCCACTGCTACAAAGCAAAGAATATCATGCACCAAAGACACAGCCTTCCTGCTTGAAGCCATCAGCCAAAACAAAAATGATAGGAACTCCTGCATTACAGGAAAGTTCTTTTTGTTAATTAATTAATTCCTAATTATATCTGCATCCTCAAACCAGGGCCGGCCCGAGGGGTTTGTGCGCCCTAGACGAAACTGCCTTGTGGCGCCCCCCTCAGATGCCAACCACCCGGTGGGGCCTGGAGACCTCCCAGCTGGCCGCCTGGGGGGGGAGACAGAGTGACGCCATGTGAGAGAGTGCCTGTGAGGTAGGTGGGGCTCAGAGAGCTCTCCGGAGAGAGCCTGCAGGAGGAGGAGGGAGGAGGGGCTGGCAGGCAGGAGTGCGCCACCCCCCCAGCCCGGCCGATCGCCTCTGCGCGCACTCCCTACTCCCCCCCCGCAGCAGCCTGAAGAGGCGGAGAAGCACCTGGCTGGCTGCTGGGGCCATGGAGCTGCAGGCGGGCCGTGGCAGCAGAGGAGGAGGAGGAGGCGGCGGCAGTAGCAGCAGCCTCGCCGCGCCAGGGCAGCTGGCCCGCTGGAGCGCTGGCCGGGCGCAGTGGGCCCCGGATCGCCAGCCCATACTGGGCGGGTGCCGCAGCGGCTCCTGCACCTGGCGCCGCTGCCGGGGCTGCGCTGGGGAAGGAGGAAGAGGAGCCCCCCGCCCCCATGGCACCCTCTGCCTCCTCGCCGCCTTCCTTCCTTCCTCTCTCCCCTGCTTTCCTCCCTCGCCGCAGAGAAAGAGAGAGAGAGAGAGAGGGGCGAGCGGGCAGAGACCTTATCCCCGCCACCTTTCTTTTCTCTCTCGCCGGGAGGGGGAGCTCAGCTGCCATGGTCTGGAGGGCGCAACCCCCCAGCGCTTCCCGCCTCCGCTCGCCAGCCGCCATGGCGGCGGTGATCACCCGGTTAGGGCGGCGGCGGGGGGGGCGGGGCGTAGTTTGGCGCCCCTGAGGGCCGGCGTGCCCTAGGCGAGCACCTAGTTCGCCCGGCGGGCGAGCCGGCCCTGCCCAAAGGTTCCTGTCGCAACCTTCAACCAAAAGCCTGGCGGAACATCTCTGCCTTACAAGCCCTGCGGAATGGTAATAAATCCTGCAGGGCACAGATGTTCTCCGGCAGAAAGTTCCACCAGGCGGGGGCCAGGGCCTGACTGAGGACAGCCAGATCTCTCTTATAGGAAGTTCTTTCCATAGAATTTCTATGATTCCTAGAGCTACCCTTTGTCACTTGTGGGTAGTTCTAGGAATTGCCGGAAACTCTATGGTAAGAAGTTCCTGTAGGTAGAGTAAGTAGATGTAGATGAAGCAGCCCTAAGGGCTTTAAAGGTAAACACCAAAAAATGCTTTCTCAAGGCTCTAAACCTCAACTACTTTCCTTAGAAGACACTCAGTTTTACTTGCGTGCAACCAAGAGCCAAACTACTTTTTTTAAGCGGGGACATAAGAACATAAGAGATGCCAATGTTGGATCAGGCCAAAGGCCCATCCAGTCCAACACTCTGTATCACACAGTGGCCAGAAATACCAGTGCCATCAGGAGGTCAGGGCAGTTGGCGCCCTGGACGGGCTTGTGCCCTAGGCCAGACACTAGCTGGCCTAGTGATAGAGCTGGCCCTGCCTCAAACCAGTTCTTTGGGATCATATATAAAGCTTATTTAGCATCACTGAGTTTTCCATTAGATTTATTTACAGTACAATAAGGTTTTAGTAAAAGGCAATTTAACTGTTTTTACTATATGTGTGTATTACTCTGTTTATATTGCTTTGGTTTCTTAGTCTCAGTGGAAAAGGTGAATTATGTTCTAAAAGATTTTCCCACTCCAAATCTCAGCCATTTTCCTGTAATTCCACAAAGATGGCAAAAACTGGATTAGAACCAAGCAAAACACAGAAATGAAACTGAGAAAATAAACAAGGAATTCTGGAGGAGTGCTGAAGGGCAGTAAAAACAGAATATGCAATACCTGATAATATATTTCTTCAAAGATACAAATAACTAAAAGGATTTAAGTAAATAAACAAAAGTAGTGATGTGACTTACATCAATAATGACTAAACTACACTGCACTAGTAGTATCTAACAGGACATTTCAACAGCAGCAGATGGTTAAATTTTTTGCCTAAATCAATCCAACCTTCCCTGTACATTTCTGGGACTGGGATTTAGGTCCACAATTTATGGATATGTAGATACTGGATCTATAGTCACAAACAGTACAAAATAGGTGTCACTGGTGCTTGGGCGGCTGTAATCACCTATGTGTGGGGAGGGAGACCAAACCCTTTTAGGAGAGAACTGAGGGAGAGCCTGGGTTCAAGAGGCTTACAACACCAAAGGTGTAAATCACCTAATCAAAACTGTGTTGACAAACTGTTGAACAACTAAGTAGTTACTAGGATGAATACAGCTTACTAATGTGCTCAGTAATCAGGGTCCCTCTCTGCCAGCCCCAATTTAACTGAGTTGATAAGTTCGGTATCTGTACCTCTTACTAACTCGAAAGCAATCCTATGCAGAATTGCTGCAGCTTGATACCATTCACCTCTACAGGCTTAGACTGAAGTAACTCTACATAGAGTCACGCTGTTCATTTTCTAGAGAGGCACGTTCAAAATGATCCAAGTTTTCGAGACAGGCAGAAATAACGACTAAAGGACTAGAGACCGTTGGGGCTAATGATGTACTTAACGATATCTCCACTGGAAGAAAAAAAAATCGGAAGTACTCCAAAACAGCTAGCCAAACCCCAACCTCAGGCGACTTCGGGAATTCAAGCGAGCAGCGATTCAAGGCTAATATGAAAGCTGTTTTCCCTTCACCAGTCCCCACTTCTTTAGAGATGTGTGTCCCTCCCCCCCATCAGCTTACAGGGAACTTTCGTGTCTGCCCAGCCCCAGCCTGCTACTTACTCGGTCGCCCGAGGTCCCAGAGAGTGGAGAGGCCTCAATGAGAGCACTCTCTGATTCCTCCGCTCCCGCCACAACGTCAGACGTGGCTCCTCATGGGGCCCCTTCTCACCCACGGGCCGCCCGCCCGGCGCCGAGACGGAGGCGGGGGGGAGGGTTACCGCAACAGGCGCCTCCCGCACCCCTCCGTCTCCCCAGCCTCATTGATGGTTCCGGCTTCCGGCCTGGCGTGAGGTCACTTCCCGCGCGCCCTGGCGCAGGAGTACGGTTGATATTGGCTGCTGAGCGCTGTTTCGGTGTGGCTATTTTGAGATGAGAAGCGGCTATTCTTTCTAGAACGGATAAAGCGTTTCCGTTGCGGTCTTTTCCCGGTCTACCTGTTTTTCTGGCATGTTCTCAATGCAAAGGCAAGATAAGCAATGCCCAGTGGCAAAGCAGCTCTCCACCCAAGCAGCAAACGGAGGGGAGGGGAGTCCAATCTATGCAGTGTTACGATTTGTGTTGTGTGGGTCGGAATTTCCGCCTTTTTACAGTATTATTTGCTTAATTGCTATGCGAGCCATATACATGACCAAGTGAGGTCATTTTGGCTCCCCCAGCTCTCCTTTGGGGTTCTTTAAAAGGTTATGGCCCCCGCTGCTGCCGCGTTCACCACCTTTTTCAGGCTCCGGACCTGAAAAACAGCCTGCAGGGCCTTTTTCAGACTCCGCACTAGAACACCAAGGCTTGAAAAAGAGCCAGCCATGTCAATTTCGGCCCCATTATATCCTATGGGCCATTGAAAACATAGGGTATATTCTGGGGGCTGGAGGGGAGGGTGTTTGAGGGAGAGGCTCCAAACTCACACGGTAGCTGCTGGAGCCTCTCCCCAAGATACCAATCAAGTTTGAAGATCATTGGACCAAGGGGTCCAATTCTACAGGCCCCCAAACAGGTTGTCCCTATCCCCATTGTTCTCTATGGTGGGGAAAAAGTAACTGGGGGCAACCTGTTTGGGGGCCCGTAGAATTGGACCCCCTGGTTCAATGTTCCTGAAACATGGTGGGTATCTTGGGGAGAGGCTCCAGCAGCTACCCTGCGATTGTGGAGCCTCTCCCTCAAACCCCCTCTCCTCCAGCCCCCAGAATATGCCTTATGTTTTCAATGGCCCATAAGATATAATGGGGCCGAACTGCGGGAAGCCGATTCAGATCAGAGAATCTGATTTGGCCCACAGCAGCTTGAAAGGGGCCCGAATGGGCCATTTTCGGGGGTGCATTCTGTTCAGACAAACCAAATGCACATCCTTCCAGCAGCTGGCTTGCTCGGGCTCTCAGCAGCCGCGGGGATCCTGAGCAAGCCAAGGGAAGAGAAGGTGGTTTAAACCGCCTCTCCTTCCCTCCAGCAGCCGGGTTGCTCCGGCTCCCCGAGCAAACCAAGGGAAGGGAAGGTGGCGGAGCAGCTGGAGACATTGAGCCTCAGCTCCACAAGTAATGAGCACTCGAGCCCCGCCCCCAGCAGCCCTCAGGCC